GAGCAAAACTCATTTCATAATATTCTCTTACATGGACGCCTGCTCATTCGGTTACACATGCAGGTTACCCGATGTCGCTGAGTCTTGGTTGTAGATGCCAGTACTTACCAAGATGGCAGATATAATCGACCAAATAGCCAGCTTTGAGGTGTGTCCATCGACGTGCCTTCCCAAATCCCCGTGAAATGGAATTTGGCGTCCGCATCATCACAGAATTATACTTAGCAGACTACGCCAAGGTTAAGCCAGTGAACCGAGGCCAAGCGGACGGCTAGAAAAAGCCTTGTATATGAGGTATTTTGGACACTAAAAGTTCCTAAACCTCAGGAGATGAGGTGAGGGGGCGCCAAACTGAACTAACAGCTCACTGAGTTAAAATATGCAGACTGTTATCCAGATGGACCAAGATGGTTCGGAAGGCCGTTGTGGAATCATAGCCAACACCCATAGTTAGCAACAGCGGAGTTAATCTACCAACTTTGACTGTGCATAAAGGAAATCAACCAAATCGAGCTGGCACGAGTTAGTGATCTACCTCAAGAAAAGCTCGAGTTTGGTGACTCAGGAACTCTCATACACGCAGGCGACTGACGAAAACTTGTACGTAGAAGACTAAAGTGCAAGGACACGACACTGACGTCGTTGTTGTAAACTGCAAGCAAGTCTCGCATGGAGAAACTAGGCCAGCCAAATTCAAACTGTGTGCTGGGAATTTCAACCTCCTACCAGCTATTTGGAAAAACCTAACAACATTGATTGCGAAAAATCTATCTAATTAGCTAGAGTTTAACACTTCAAGAAACCGAAGCGTGATGATTATAAACCATTTTGTTAAAACTTGGGCTGAGTTTTCTCTCAAGGTGAGGATTTGAACTATATTAAACATCTTCTACCACTAGTTAGGCGTGATCTCAGTGCCCCTACTCTGAAGGTCACTGGTACTACAATATACTGGGATAAAACCTGGGCTCGATCGAGTGTGCACTACATAAGGTGCAGGTAGCCTATTTAAGTGGCATTATTTCTGCGGTCTCATCCGAAGATTTAACTCTGAAGTCGGAAACTCAAAAGAAAGCTTCATGGAAGTGATTTAAGCAAATAAATACCCAGGTATTCAAAAATTACATCCAAGAGACTGCCACAAAGGAGCGAAAACAACACACCTGTAGATGAACCAATTAGGTGCAAACACACTGATTGGAATGTATGTACCATCCATGGGATTTCCGAAGCTAAAAAGCTGTACAGTGCTTCTATAAACGAATCTTTTACAGAAGTTAGGAATGTAGATACCTTAAAACGCATTGGTTCACCTGAAGGCGCTACATTCCTGCACAGATTTCAAGGGGGAGACCTTCGACTCAGTCTTTAATCTGATTGCTGGTAATCGAGGTAGGTCAGGAGAAAGCTAGATGAATCATAGACTATCTCCCAGTTGTCTTCACACAAAGTTGCTACGAGTAATAGTATAAGCTCTGGCTGCGTCAAAAACACTGTATCTTGGTGCCAATGCGAACTGGGCTCCTGGAAACAATGTCACTGGATGATCTACACCCAAAACTTCTCAAGGAGGCGACACCACATATGAAGCTCACTGACTGCTATCTGTAGGCCATCCCTCTCACGTGGAATCCTAACGCAGAGGAGAATCTAGTTATTGAGTTTCAAACTTGTTGTCACTCTGACTAAAATGTCGGTACGTCCCGGAATCGCGAGCGGTTCCCATCGATGAATTAGCGGCTTTCTTGGAAGCAAGTTAGTAATAATAATAATATATATTTCGTATAAAGTTGTTGGCTTATATGAAATGCATGGCTTTTTTACAGGCATGATCGATTATTTTACAATTTATAATTGTAAATTAGCATAGATTATCACTTTTTCACAATTTCAGTTTGTTGAATTATAAAACAAGCAATCAGAATAGTTTCTTATAAATGTTAAATTGTAAACGCTTCATTAGGGTCACCATCGAATTTGAACGACAACCCAAACTTCGTTCTATTTCCTGATGGTAGTTATGGCCAACTGCTAAACAACATATATCTGGGGTGATTGCTATGCCCCCACTTGACTGAACGCTATTTCAGGAAGAGAAAAATGGCATAAAATGCAATTATGGATAATACATCTTTGGAATTAAATTTACAAGATAAATACAAGAAACAGCTATCGAGTACTTGGAATGATAGTACACATTTGCAAATTTCAATGCTAACCATATTGGTCTTACTATGGAAAACTATGACGTTTTCGATGAAAATATATTGGAGATATAAACTAATGTTTAATTCTCTAGCTGTCAAAAATGCATGTTGCTGTCATACAGATCGGAGCGATTCACACTTGTGACCACTACCATATCTGATGATCAGCATGCTCCACCCTCCCTCCTTAGGCTGTTTGAACAGATCTGAAATCTCTTTCTTTCGGCTTCAACTAGAAATATTTTTCGCCACCGTTGTGCGGCTATCTATCCTGTCTAGACATGAGATTTAGCCGTATTGCCTCCTGACTCTTAAACCAAGCTCATCTAATCTGGTAAACAGACTGCTCTGACAACTGAAATTATAACTATTACAGAAAATGAACCACGAAACTCCCTCGGTGAGTTCTTGTGGCTCAAAAATCCAGTTGTCCACCACATGTTTCAATCTGCACAGGTAAAATGATTACTCGTTGAAGGTTTGACCAATTTAACGAATTTCTCTGATCCCCCACGGATTCCTCTCAGATAGGAGAACTAGAGCGGGGATACACCTGGCAGTGTTTTACCTGACAATGCTGCATATCAGTTTAGTGTAAGGTTCTTTGCTTGCCCCTCTCTTGTTTATCTTGTATGTCAACGAATGACCTGAACTCATCGAATCTCCTATGGTTCTTGAAGCAAACGCTCAAGAAAACTGAGGATGCTTAAGGATGAGAAAGATATGCCTATATTAAGAGCAGGTCTCCGCGACCTGATAGACAAGCTGAAGGAATGGATTCACCCTACCAGACCTTTGAAGTGTGTCAACGTTACTGTCAGACACGCAAATGCTGGAACATACGACACAAAGGAAACGCCACACTTTAATCTACTCCAGACTAACTCATTTTTAGAAATGATGGAGTGTTGGCATTTACGCGAATCGCATTGTGTAGCAGTTCAAGTTCTTACAACCACAACTTCTACAGTATCTTTCTTGTGCAGACCAAAGGCAGGTCAAAACATCAAACTGATCGTTCAAAGCATAGGATATACTTCGGGATGAAAATTGCAGCTCGACGATGACAGTTTGACTAGCCACGTAATGTGTAAAATTACAAGTTTACACGAAATATAAATTATTATTATGAACGTACTAATGTTGTAGCAGCAGAAGGCGAGACATGGAGGTCAAGTGATCAAAGCACTATTTATACACATGCAGTTTAAATTCTTTAACCAATCAATGAGCAAATGATTCTGGCTTACATTAAACGAGGTGAGAATATATACATACGTTATTCTGTTGTTAACTTGGTAGTGAACTGTGGGAACATGTGAGAATAATTTTCCGTTGGAAAACATTGACAGCGTGCAAAATGGCGTGGATGTATGACCGTGGGCCTTCAGCCAGACGATTCGACTTAAAATTTGGCGTCCATTGTCGAGCGATGAATACTCTAGGTTACAAAATTTTGTGGAATTACCTACCACAACTCTCTTAAATGCCTACAATTTTTATTTTTATTTTTGATTTTGATTTACAGCTTGATTCCACACTGTATTTTCAGTACAAGTGTGGAATTTTCAGCATGGATATCGGTAGCCCAAATTCAGGCCGACCATAGATAACGGGTGTGCGCCGGCAGGGGATCGAACCCCGGAGCATGTGCATGGTCGGCGAGAGTCCTAACCACTGTGCCACCGACGCACAGTGAGTTAACCTAACCATAACACGTACCTAGTCTGAAACTAATGTTATTCTCTCCCAAACCTAAATGAACATTAACAGGATATTCTGTGAAGTACCATTATACTTCATTAAGTATGTTCTCCCATGAATATAATGGTATTCACCAAGCTTCTGTGATTTTCTCACTGAGCATTCCAAAGTCAATCTTGTTTTCGTGCCCATTCGGTGACTATAGGGTGACTATCTTTGTTCAGTAAAAAGTCAGCAAGCATAAAAAGCTGCCAGAAGGGGTCTGATTCCTGCTTAAAGCCCTGTATCCTCGACAAAAACCAAAACTTCGAAACCTGTACAATGGGTATTGAAGGCGGGAAACTTGCATCAAGGTCGTCCTTGGGCGAAAAGTGAAAAGGTGATGAAATTGAATTGTTGAAGTTTTCGTTTAACTTTTTCTCAGAGTAATTGCATAGCACTTGTGCCAAAAATTTTTATGTGGTGAACTGTTTATAAAGTATAATGAACCGGCTAATTTCGGGATATTCTGAGAAAACTGTGTGTGTATGATCACCCCCATCTGGAAGTCTACAGTCCTGCTAGCGAGCGGGGCTGACATTCTTACAGTTGAGACAACCGATGGTTGTCTTAGGGGGAAAAACATGTTAGGCTGATGCATATTTCTGCTAATTTCCCATTCGGCTTTACGACGAAATTACCAAGCGTAAACGTATTCGTGATAAGTATAATGCCTTTGTGGGGTTAAAGAACTAAAGTTTAATTATAACAACAACAAAAAAATGCATTCAGGCGTTTATATAAACAAGAATGAACATGGGTCTATGTTCCTATACACCCGGATACATTATTCTAGTAGAGGACTGCCCAGCTGGGCAAGTACGACGGGCTGATTACACATTATGTATTTCAGTTGTGGTTCCCAATAGGTCCTAACTTTGTGTATCTGTGTGTCTGTTGAAATGAAGTAAGGCAAAGTTGTTTGAATTTTTAATTCATTGCATTTATAAATGCAGGGAATTTAGCTGTTGCCAGTTTTTTGCAACGAGCTGTACACACAATAGGTTTGCTTTTATGTTAGCTATCGACTAAGGGTTCAATGCATAACCGTAGGCGGGTAATCCAAGGCTATAGTCAGTTGCAGAAAGTTCGGGGGCATTGCAGGATATTTGCGGCAGCCTTAGGGGCATTGTCCCAGGTTCAGCAGTATGCCCGAAGAAAATGCTAACTGCGTAGGCTTAACAGATGGCTTGCTGTTTCATCTTTTATCATGTTCTCTGTACCCATGTAGGCACTTTGTCCTTAAATAATAAACAAATTTTTCGCTGGCCAACTCATAGTGTTTATTAATTAGTTTCGTATTCATGGTTATATATATTTTTATATGTCAATTTACAGATGGTTCGTCTTGAGTTCTATCGTCATAACGTGTGTTTAAAAACTCAAAAATCGCTCATGTATTTGTGTATCTACAGCGTAAACCCCTTTAACATAGTTAACATATACGTGAAAAGTAATGAAATTCCTACGTTAAAGTTTTGTCAGTTAGTTGGTTATTTTTTAGTTGCTCTTAATTTTGGAACTGTTCAAGTTATTTCTCTTGTAACTAAAAGTTTGGAAGTTTCAGTAAAGCTTGTTGTTAGACGGTGCAGGACGTTCCACCTGCGTTTCATGCCTATTGGCACTTATCATCAGCAAGGTATATCTAAAACTATGATGGAATTGCACCCTCCCGCCCCCCGTAATCCATTGGTGCTGCAGTCAGAGATGTCACCTGTTGGCTTTTTGTATATGTTAGAGTTCATTTGTTCAGACGTCTATTTATAGTACATTTATGGTTTTATTTGTTGCCATAAAGAAGTAGATCAAACGGTGCACTCCTATTACAAAAATCACTATGTACTATTTCATAACTACAAACAAACCGAGCGCATTTTTGTGTTCCAAGTGTAATGCGAAATAACACTCTTGATAATCCAGTTCTACTGAAAACTGGTTAAATTTTCAACATAGAACTCGTGGCACTAAGATATATCAGCTCAAGTTGCTATACTTCACAAAGCACACAGATGTGGAGAAAAAAAATTAATGCGAAGATAATCAATATGGGAGATGACAGAATTTAGTGGAGAATAAGCATTCAATGGATATGACTGCATCTCAGCCACTGAGAGTGAATTTTAACCGTATCACCAACAATCTTAAGCCATTGGCTCCTAACAGTTTCAGGATCTCAGTCAGACAGTCAGCACCTTCCGATATAGCTTAAGCCAAACACTCAAAGATTTCATAGAATAATGTCATGTTCTGACTTGCCCCCTCACACCTCCATAACTATTTTCCGACTTTCTCTCCTATGTCAACTAACATTGCTCAGTAAGGAAGGCGGTGACTTGATACACGTAGAGCATGACCTTGACATCTCAACTGATACAGCTTCACAATCTCACTAATTAACATTCCCTCCCTCCTATCAGTGTAGTTGTAGGTTGAGCATTTAATCTAAACGTGTCGTCAACTGTCATGCAGAAAGGGTTGTCATGAAAAAGGCTTATGATTTATGAATCTTGATCTCCTTTTCAAAATCGTTCATTTCATAATACTTTCGAGTTTTTTTTTAATCATATGTTTCTTCGGTCCATTTTGCCTATAAATTTACCATTCTTTTTCACATTGTCTGCTGACTTTAGTGTACAGATTAATTTCTAACCAGTGACTGAGTGAGTGAGTCCGCCTGTATATATGTGCGTCACCACATTGTAATGCGATACTTCAAAAGTCAAGGATTTCGTCTGCTGACTGCAGCTTCAATTTACTGTGGTTTACATTCTACTGGATCTGAGTTAAAAATTCAACAGTGGAACTATAATTGGGATAAATCACATGGTAAGTTATGCCATCTATTTGTCTATGGAGACAATGTATAGTTTTCTTTTCAAAACTGTTCTGCTTCTATAAACAACCACCTGATATGTAGACTTCAGTCTTCCTTTTGAAATGCTCTGTCTCTCTCTCTCTTGTGATCATGGTAAGTCGTATTTTTACGCGCTGCGGATATTCCTTACAAGTGTTGAAGTGTGAATGCTAACGTCTAGAGCTTACAACCGAACTAGTGGACATGCAGGTGCTGGAAAGCTTTGATCCCAAATCTATGGTGTACTTGGGCTCCAGAATACAAATGGATCGAAAGGCGTACGGACCTGTTTTGGTCAGCGGAAACCATGGGAACGCCGCTATTCACGCTACTTCACTGCCTTATGGATCAAACTCTAAGTCAAAGACTTGGAAAGGCAGTGGACCTGTAGACCTCCGGGCAGTATCCTAGCAATCGTTTTCTGTCGCATCTTTTGGTGCCTTTAATGTATCGATCAATAGTAATGAAAGCTATTCTTGTCTTTTTCTAGGTGTACACAGTGATTTGAAGACTGATTCAAAGTTGAATACCACTCATCATCATCAGCAGCAGCAACAATCATATTATAAGCTAATTATATTTATACGTCATGGACAATATCATGTAAATAAAAAGAAATCAGAAGAGAAAGTACTCACTGATATTGGTTGGCGACAGGCATATGCTACAGGATGTCGACTGAAAGAAATGGGAATCAAGTATGTTCCCCGCCCTGTACTTCTTTTTTAAGTCCAGAGTTGATATAATGATAATTAACAATTGTATGTGACTGGATATTTATTACACTGTGGAACACAGAGGTCTTCAACAGCACACCTCCACTTTGCCGTATTTTCTATAGTCCTCCTCATTAACTGGTTCCAAGTTTGCCCCATAGTCTCTCATGTCCTCCATGTCACCCTCCTCGCACTGACGTTCAACTCGTCGTTTCCCCTTTGGGTTCCAACTGAGCACCGGCCTGGCAAGCGATGTAACCCGATGGAATCCTTAGCGTGTGTCTTATCCATCTCCACTTTCTTCTGCATATTTGTTGAATGATAGGTTCTTGATTGGTTTGTTCAACTGCAGAGTTCCTTGTTGCTAATTCTTTCTGACCGGCCATTCCACCTTCACTATGGAGCCAGTGAAGGCAGTTGCTAATAAAATTCTGCAGCTGGCGACTGGAAATGCTTTTCTTGACTCCCTGGCCACGTTTCCGATCCATTTAGAAGAACTCACTGACTTAACCGTGGTGCTGAGAATCCGAATTTAGTTTTTTTTATGCTGAGTGAAGAAGATTTCCAAACTTTTTTCAGGTTGACGAAGGTGTATCTTACCTATCGGATTCTGACTGCCTGGTGTTCACATCTTCATCCGTTTCACCTGAGGTTGAAACAATGCTTCCTAGATAAGTGGAGGAAGTAACCTCTTCTAAATATCTCCCGTTGATAGGGATTGGCGGTGTTTGTTGTCACTGTTGGTTAGTTATCTTTTTCACCTCCGTCTTCTCTATGTACACCTGGAGTTCTGTCTTCGCCGCTTGCCTGCTTCTTCAGCTAGTTTGTTGGTTTTTGCCTGCCTGGAAGTCTTCGAGTTTGTGTGGCATTAGACATAAATCATCTGCGAAGTTGAGGTCTTGTAGAGTTTTCCTATCGGTCAGTGCAGCGTATTCCTTTCTTCAAATGAACATAAATAAAAGTGATTTATCACACAGTGAAACAGTGTTATTATTAACTGGATGAGTAAGTTTCGAACACACTTTATTGTTGTTCATAATCATCTCATCAATTATAATCACACGACTTCGAAATCTGAGTTTTATAGTTTTCTTTGTCTTCTCCTATTGGTCGTCGTTAGGGTAGTAGAATTTTCCAGATATATCCGGCTGGACAGGTGTTGAATCATTCCTATTACACGTGTTTGCAGTTGATTCGATAAACAAAGCTTCTGTTATCAATCTCTCTCTCCACCCTGTGACATTAGATTTTAAAACTGTCATCCTATCCCATCCTATTGCATAGTTGTGTGTAGTTGCATGTAGAGTGGTGCTACAGCTGAACTATTCTCTAGATTTCTTATCCTATTTGGGTCAACCAATCTATACTGTGCTAGGATTTTTCGCTGTTACGGTAGTCTGACTGCATCTGTTCTACTACTTTGACCTGACTATCGTCGCAGGGTATAACATAAACTAAATTGGTTTGTTAAATTGGCTACACAGTATCCTTTATCCAACAGAGCTCGTTTCTAATTGAGTTTGTGGGTGGCTTCAATGCCACTTTTATTATTCTTGCTTTGTTGAGAATTCTTAGTGTGGAAGCACTACTGATGATTTAAATTCCCTATTGTTGGTGTTGTCATTATCCTGTGCATGTTTGACATGCATGTCGTCATTATTGTAATTATTATTATTATCACTATCACTACTATCATTATTTATTTTATTTTCACATTTCCCTATATACTTTCTGACTAATTTATCAGGGTGGTTACTATGTTTTAAAGCTTCTCTTATATGCCTCATTTCCTGTCCTAGATTTTCCTTCGTTCTACTTAGTTTTTGTTTTCTATTACTTAAACATTTCAGAAATCCTATTTTTACTGACATAGGATGGGATGATCGGAAATCCAAATATCTGTTTAAATGTGTATTACCTGTACACACTTATGTTTAACTTCCCATCTTATTTCCCTTTTACGCTACAATCTAACACTGGAAGCTCCCCTTCCTGACTTTCCAATTCATAAGTGAATTGAATTCCCTCCACCTTTGAGTTACTGTGTTCGAAAAATTTAATGTAACACCAGAGTGGAGGGAGAGACTGATAAGTGACTGAAGCTTTGTTTATCGAATCAACTGCAAACACGTGTAATAGGAATGATTCAACACCTGTGCACCCAAAATCTAGAAAATTATACTACCCTAACGACGGCAAATAGGAGAGAACAAAGAAAACTATAAAACTCAAGTTTCAAAGTCGTATGATTATAATTGTTGAAATGATTATGAAAAATAAATTTTGTTCGAAACTTAGTCATCCAGTAAATAAAAATACTGTTTCACACTGTGTGTGTGATATACCTAATGAACAAACTAATATGGTATTACTTACTATCACAGTGTCCAAGTTTTACACATATATTAATAAACGAATGTGATTATTGAGTAACGCATAATTTTTATATAATCATTTTTTTTTAAAGAAGCAATAAGAAAACGTAATTTATTTGAAATTTTGTAATGTGTATTTATGCAACGTGTTTCTGACATTCTGACAACACACATACATACACCTTCTGGTAGTCATGCCTAATTTATATACAAAGGCAACAGAGCATAAAAGATTCAGAATGTTTCTTATCAGTATAGATCAAAATGTTTATAGGGTCACGATCACAAATAAGAGATGGGATAATTAGGCAAGAAAATAAGAAGAGTAAACATATTATTAACTAAAATGAACTTTTCTATAGTTGGTTTGTAAGGATTAGTTTTGGTTTTTTTACGAGTAGATCACGGATGGATATCAGTTAGACAAGCAATGAACACCGGCAGGGAGTCCTACCGGACAGCTGTTTCAGCCTGATTTCAATCCGTGATCAACTCGTAAAAAAACCAAAACTAATCCTTACAAACCATCTATAGGAAATTAATCTGATGCTCGCTAGTGACTTGCTACAGGATGGAGTTTCCTGGAGTTCTAGTGAGAAGTCGTGACCAGTGAGGTCCATTCAGTCGGAAGTGAGGATGGATGTACCACCGACGACATGGTTGGTGCCAGTCGCGCTAAACCACGAATTGGTAGAAGTTAAAATTCATGGGCTGGTCACTGAGGGGTCAGGTTCCAGTGGCTGACTGGTATACGAGATCGTTTGCCTTGTAACCGAGATGTCCTGAGTTCGAACCCGTGTGGGTGCCTACTGCCGATGATTCCCAAACTAGAGGGATAAAGCATAAAATGAACTTTGATTCTAAAAGTGAATTACAAAGCCAGGTTCAAAGTAATGACAAATAATATTTCAACACATAAAACAGGTTTAAGCCATTTTATGGTTAAAGCTTCAAAGAATATATATTCATGAACTAAATCTGTCTTGTGCATATAAGTTTAAAGGCACTAATGAAATCAACCGTCAGTATAATATACTTTATTACAAATGACGTTGTACACATATTTTTAGAGTTCATGGAATCACATGATTTGATTTTATTTTTTCTTACAACCACTTATGAATGTGTTCGATAACCTTGACCTGCACTAATCAATAGGTACACTTCCTATACACACGTGTGTTACCACACATTCAGGTGAATCGATAAACACAATGGAATGTTTTATCACGATCTGATATCAATCAGTTACATTGGAACCATTGGAAAGCCAGCCAAGGAGTACTTGACAACTGTTTCGTCCTAGTTTGAGACTCTTCATCAGCAGATACCTGCTGGCGTTTGAATCAAGAACCTTCCAGTTACAAGGCAACATCAGCCACTGGGACTCGGTCCATTTGCCCATGAATTTCAATTTCTACCAATTCGTGACATATAATTTGAACTCTTGTGGGTACCTACTACCTGAAGAGTCCCAAATTGGGACAAGACAGTGGTTCAGTCAGTTCATAAGCAAATCCCTGCTAACATACACTTGAATACACGGAAGTGTGACACTATCGTTCAAATGCTTACTTCATTCTCCTACCTCATATTTGTGATCATAACCCCATAATAATTTTGACCTATACGGACAAAACCTGTTTCATTCTTTATGCTCTGTTGCTTTTGTATGTAAACATGTATGACTACCAATACGTGAATATATTTGTGATAAAAATATGCGAAATGTGTTGTGTATATGCACATTATATTATTATTATTATTCCCTCGGGTTCACAGTGGAACATAGGGCTTCAACAATACATCTCCACTTTTAAAGTATTGGTTGTGTGAGGAAGTTTTGTTTGATTGGTTGAAGGATTTCATCATGAGCTGATATCAGTTAGAGAACCATTGGAAAACCTGCATGGAGTATTGTACAGCTGTTTCGTCAGCCTAGTTTTGGGCTCTTCCTCAGCATGCACATCTCCACTTTGTTCTATTCTCTGCCGTCCTCTTCAGCCGCATCCATGATTGCCCGTAATCTCTCATCTCCTCCTCCCCAAAAAGTCCACGTCCATGTCACCATGGCACCGATGACACACTCGTCGCTTTCCATGTGGATTCCACTCGAGTGATAACCTGCATTGCATGTAATATCATTCGACAGTCTCCTCAACCGATCCATCTCCATGTTTTCCTACATATTTGTTCACCAGTCGGCTCTCGGTTGGTTGGTTTGTTCCACTACAGAGTTTCCTGTTGCTAATTCTTTCTGGCCAGGTGGCCGGTGAAGGAGGCAGCTGATCATTAAAAGTCTGCAGTAACTTGTTGGAAATGCTTTTCGTGACATCCTCATCAAGTTTCTCAACCGTATAGTAGAACTGATGGATCTCAAAATTGGTGTTGAAAATCCGAATCGTCTTGTTTATGCTGAGTCAGTGCAGAAGATTCAAATGCACATTGTACGTTTCACATAAATTATGTCTTCTCTTATTGTTTCGCCAAAATTCCTAAACGGAACTAATTGATCATATGAACTGTGATCAAGATTTGACCGGATAGTTACAAAATAATTGAGATTTTTTACAAATATAATATAATTTTATAAATTTGTTATTCTCT